TTTGTGTATGTGCACCGCGACCCGCTGTCCACCTTCCAGTCTGCCGCCCACATGGCCAACACTTCCCCCCCCCCCACCCACCCACCCACACACAAACAGACACACACACACACTGTAACGCACACACACACACCAAACACCCACAGGCACCCACCTGCAGGTCCACGCCCGTCTCCTGGCGGCACGACACCGAGTTGAGGCAGGGGCTGGAGATGAGGCCCGCCTCCTCCGCAGTCAGCAGGTACTTGTCGCGGTTGCTGCGGGGCGAAGCGGGGCACGGGGGAAGGCACAGGGCGGAGTGAGGCCAGGAAGGAGGCGCGGGTGGGGCGAGGCAGCATCAGGCTGCGGGCAGGCAACCGCAGCGGCGTGCACGGCATGGCACTGCGGCGTCTGTCTCCACCCACCAGGCCAGGTACTGCGCTGTGGGGTAGTCCTTGGGGCTGCAGCCCAGGCTGAAGGCGGAGGGGTCCTGGTACACACGCACATAGTCAACCTGCGGGTGCGGTGCAGCACAGCAGCGCAAGCGGGCGAGGACGTGCGGGTGTAATTGTGAGATACATTGTGTTGGCAAGCATGCGGCATCCATTATGGGCAGCAGCAGCCGCAGGACCAATGCCGCCAAACCGTGCCCGCCAGCACTGCCGCCGCCACATGCGCGAGCGGGTACAGGACGGGCGCACACCTTGTACTGCGATGGGAAGGTCAGCTGCTCCAGGTCCACAGTGGAGAAACTGTCTGCAGGCGGGGTGAGCAGTATGGCACGGGGGTCAGCACAGCAGACCGCTGCCGTGCCCTGTAGCCAGCCAGATGGGTGCACCCATCGCTGTGCTGGCGCATGCCCCGCTGCTCGCCAGATGTTGCCAGCAGGCAGCCAGGCAGTCCAAAGAAGCTGGGGCTCACTGGACATCGCCAGGTTGAAGATGATGTACCTGCGGGGTCGGGGCAGGGCAGAGCCGCGGCAGCACGAGGGTGGAGTGGGGGCAAGGGGGATGGGGCATGCATGCTGCACCTGGCACGCTGCCGCCAACGCAGTGCTGCCGTCACCCATGCACCCCAACACCCTCCCAAGGGCCCCTCCGGCTCACATGGCCTCCTCGGGGATGAGGCGCGGGCCCACCGCATAGCCTGTAGAGTTGGTCTGCCCCCTCAGTGCCTCCTTGTTCACCTCGTACACAAAGTGGCTGCAGGTGGAGGGGAGAAGCAAACGACACGGGAGGTCGGCCATGTGTGGGCGGGCGACATGTCACCCAAACGGCGGTGGCTAGCAGCGAGCCGCTTGCAGCGCTGCTCTACAAGTGTTTGGCTGCAACCAGAACATGCCGGGCTGGGCTCACCCGTCGATGTACCATCTCACATACTCTCCAGGCACCCAGTGCTGCAGGGGCGCCCGGGAGGGAGGCAGCACATGCTGGATGGCAGGAACAGCTGCCGGATGGAGCCAGGGGCGATGACAAACACCAGCCACGGTGACTCTGCGGGAGCCGGCTGCTGACGTGCCGCCTGGCTGCTGCAGCAGGCTTGCATGCCGCACTTACCAGCCCAAAGGTGTGGTAGGACGTCCAGAAGGATGGCTCCAGCACCGCGTAGGCAGACACCGAGTCCTGGTACAGGTTGCCGGGCCTGCGGGTGAGGGGCACACGAGGAACAGCCGGGGGAGTCCACAGAGCGCCGCACTGTGAATGTGAAAGAAAGCATGGCGGGCACATGCTGCCTCCATTGGTTTCACCTGCCAGGGCCTCCCTCTCGCTCACCTGTCCAGCACGTTTGTGCCGTACTCTCCCTGCCAGTAGGTCAGGTGCGTGTAAAGCCAGTCTGCGACAGGGCAGCGCCAGGCGTGACGCGCAATCAGGCACAGCACGCCGTTGCCATCACCAAGCCCGGCCACCACCCTCTGTCAGGCCCAGCACCCAGCGCAGCACCAAACACGGCACCCCTTTGTGACACCCACCTGGCAGGTTATTCTTGGGCAGGTACTGTCCTGCAACAGCAAGCCAGGGAACGACACAGGCACCTGTCAGGCATTCTGCTGCATCTTCGGCGCATCTGCGGCCTCAGGGGCAGCCATGCATCTGGTAAGTGCCAGCCGGCGCTTAGCCGGCACACACGGCAGGCGCGGTGCCTGCTCAGCTTCCCCATAGCCGCTTTCCACACGCACCCGGTCCCGGAACCACATCCCCATCCTCGTCCGTCGCGGTCCACGTGGTCCCGTTGGCCAGCAGCGGCGCTGTCTGCAGCATCTCAGGAACGCAGGAGTGAGACAGCCACACAGCCGTGCAGCAGCAGAAGCAGCAGCAGCAGCCGAGCACCATCCAGCAGCAGCGGGCGGGGCCGGCACCTGCAGCGTGATGGAGCTGAAGGGCTTGTGCTGCTGGCCCGGCTCGTCGCCCTGCGGGTCCCCCGGCTTGTGCCCGATGCTGCTGTCCACCCTGCGGCAGGCACGGGAGGGAGATGGCGGGCAGCAGCCAGGCAGGGGCCTTCAGCAGGGCAGCCAGCAGCAACTGGCGCTGCCATGCATGCATGGGGACGCCATGCAGCGGCAGGCATCATCTTCGGAGTCCCCATCCTGACGGGATCCTGACTGCCGACCTCCGCCCCTGCCCCCCTCACACTCACTTGACCTCCAGCAGGTCGATCTCAGGAGCCCCCCGGCCCACCCCCGGCTTCAGCCCGAACCGCTGGCGGTCAAAGCCGGGCGGGTCGGGGCAGGCTGTGATGTTCTGGGGGGTGGGCCCCGCAGGCTGGTCGGTGCCCACGCCACCGCCGCCGCACCTGCAAGGAAATTGGGCGCAGCAGAACTAGTGAGCTTGGGAATACACGCATGGAAACAGGACAGCCGGGCATGCTGGGTGGGAGAAGGTGGGCGGGTTCCAGCTGCTGCTGCTCCTAGGGCTCAGCCAGGCTGGCGGCTGCCGCCGGCGCCGCGCAGCGCCGCTCACGTGTTGTAGGTGTATGGCCAGAATCCGGCCGTGCTTTCCATGTGCCCGGCGCGCCCCAGGTTGCCCATCAGCCAGAACGCGGGCCTGCAGAGCAAGGCGCAGCGAGGAGGCCCAGCTCGCTACGCTGCCAGTAGCACGCTTGTTCAGCAGCGGCAGCCGGCGCAGCCCCGGAGGGCTCACCAGAAGCCCGAGGCAAAGTCGTTGCCTGGCAGCTGCACCCGAGCCTCCATGTACCCGCCGGTGAAGCTGCAGGCAGCGGGCCAGGCCAGGCGGCGCGGCGGCGGGGTTGGTGCTGGGCGGGCAGCAGCAGGGGCGCATGCAATGGGGGCAGTGGAGGGGTTGGTGCTGCCTGCCATGGACCCCAGGCAGAGCCGCCCGTGCACTACCTCCACAGCTGGCCACGACACATGCAGCTGCATGCAGCCATCCACCCCAACCACCCCTACATCTTTCTGTGCACACATACAGCAACACCCACACTACTCAACCCCTCCTCACCAGAACTTGTTCCAGCTGGACACAAACCCGGACTTGTAGTCCTTGCTCACATTCCACACCACGCCGCCGGGCTGCTGGCTGAACGCAGACGCGCCGCCCGGCCCCACCCCCTCGATACTGATCACCGCTGCGCCGCCCTCTGTGGCCACCTGCGGGTGAACAGGGGCAGTAGGCGTGCAGTTGAATGGGTGGGTGGAAGCGTTGGCAGCAACCCAGGAGGCTGGACGACTGCAGCGGGCGGATGCGCGCTGCATGGCACACACTGCCGACCGCCGCTGCGCTGGTGAGGCGGCCACGGGTGCCTCCCCACCACCCGCTCCCTGCGCCACCCGCCCCCACCTGCTCTGGCGTGTAGACCTCGATGTCGTCGGTGCCTGCAGAAGGGGAGCGGAAGGGGAGCGGCATGCATACTACTTGACCAACCGTGGAGGCACCGCGACGGCGGGCGGCTTGGATGCAGCAGCCTCATGGCAGCCGGCGTGTCGGCGGCGGCGGCTCCCAGCGCAGCCCCGACCCAGGGGCGCACCTGCATACCACATGCGGTCTGCCGTCCAGCGCGGGTCCCCCGCCCCCACCCCAAACGACCGCCCCTCTGCCTCAAACTTATCGGTGAATACCAACTGCATGCAGGCGGCCAGGCGGTGGTAGGATCCGTCTGCTTGCCTGTGTGTGGCTGGGTTTGGGGAAGGCAGCGCAGGCCCGGCCACCGGCCACCGGGTTGCAAAAGGGCAGGCAGGGGCGGGGCCACTTGGCTGGCTTGCCCGCCGCCCAGCTGGACCGTTGCCCCAGGGGTTGCCCACTCCCACCCAGCTAGCCAGCCGCCAGCCACCCACCTGTAGGTCGCTCATGGGCGGCGAGTCCACGCTGCAGGTGGCGTAGTCACCCGTGCAGACTTGCTTCACACAGGCCTGGGCGGGGCTGGTTGGGTCGACAAAAAAGGATGAGACGCTAGTGCCCGCGGCCTGTGCTGCGGCGCTCAGCTGCGCTGCGCAGCTCGCCTGGGCGATCGCTGGGGCGGCTGAGGCTGCAGGCGGGGAATAGGAGGGAGGGATGCGGCGGTTGAGGGGTGGGGCGGCGTGGAGCTGGGGCCAGACGGCGACAGCTGGCGGCGGCGGCAGAGCGGCGGCGGGCGCAGCTGCAACCTAGCGGCGGGTGGCGGTGATCTCCCCTGGCTTCCACAGGGTCTCTTCTCACCCAAAAGACACAGAGGGAGCAGCACGAGCTCCCAACTCCGCCGACGCGTTGGCGGGGGCATTTGCCCGCGCCCTTCCCTTCCCAGCTGCGCCTCCCCTGTGGTCGCCGGAATCCACCAGTTGTGTGCCGTTTGCTTCCTCGTTGAGAGGGCAGCCTGTGATGGATCTTGATTGGAGCAGTGACAGAGCGCAGCAGGAAGACGCGCTGGTTCAAACGAAGTTGCACACAGGCAGTGTCACGACAGGCTGAAGCGCAGGTGCGGTGCAGAAGCCGACGCGGCTATTGAGGTGGCGGCGCCACGTGGCGCCGCTATGCATAGCTATGCGGTGTGCCACCACATGGCGCCGGTGCGCATTGTTGCCCAGGCGCTTAAAACAAACAGCACATGGAACTCTGTTGTTTTTCATGTACTCAGGGAGCACAGACGGGGTTGTGATTTACAATTGTGCTGTCAGAACAAAATGGAGGTGCCAGGCAAGTGTACAGCCAGCTGCAATTCGGCACCGTCCAAGCCGCTACTCTGCCGCTTGCTGCTGCCCCGCCGCCGCGAGCACCTTGCACACTTTCCGATGTCCACCGGCCCGCCAATCAGCGTGGGAGCAGGCGAGGCCGCAGTACCTCACCGCCCGGCACCCGGTACACCGCTTGCTGGCCGTACCACACACATTAGGGCAGCGCAGGTGCGCGCAGCGCCGTGCCCCCGCCGCATCTGCCGCCTCCAGCTGCGCCGCCGCCACCTGCTCCGGCGCCGCCCAGTGCTGGCTCAGCAGGGCTGCCACCTCCTCGGCCAGAGGCATCAGCTGCCGCGTGTGCCGTGCGCAGGTGGCTGCCACATCATCCGGATGGGCCCTCACCTCCTCCTCCATCACGTCCGACACCGCCGCCAGCTTCCTGCCGGCGGCAGCCAGGCCCTCCGCCAGGCCCTCGGGCAGCGCGTGGGGCGGGCCGCCGGCGCTGGCCTCCGCGCCGGCCGCCAAGCGGCCACCATCGTCGATCATACATTCCAGGAGGCCGGCCACGGCATAATGGAAGGTTGCCAGCTGCGCCAACAAAGGGGCGCAGGGCCGGCGGTCACGGCAGGCCAGCGGCAAGCCAACTGATGCTCACAGGGCGGCTGCATACCAGCACGATACAGCGAGCCGCGCCTCGCCCGCTTACCGTATTCGCGCTCCAGTCCCGATCCACGCCCGGCACGCGCTCCGCCACGCTTTGCTCGACGGCTCGCTGCCAGACGGGCAGCGTGCCTGACGCCAGGAGCGCCGCCGCCGCTTGAGGGCGCCCTGCCAGTGCCCCGACCGCCTCGGCAAGCGTGCTGCCCCTTTCTGGCGTGCCTTCGGCCCCGCCGGTACGGTACTGCACCGGATGGGGCCACAGCGGGCGCCGTGTCAGCAGGCAGGTGGGCTGGGGGCGAGAAAGCCAGGCCACAAGCAAGCGCTGCCCCTCACCTCTGCAGCCTGCTGCAGCATGGCGTGCAACGCCGCAACGCCAAGCGGCGCAACGCAGGCGGCCGGCGCCGTCGATATGGCGATGGCCAGGTGGCGCAGCGGATGAAACCACGCGGCCGCCACGCCCGCCCTCAGCTCGGCAGGCGGCAGCTGGGTTGCTGCCGCAGACGCGACCGCCACCTGCGCAGCGGCGGCCGAACACAGCAGCCTGCGGGTGGGGAGAGGGGGCGGGGGTGGGGAGTGGTGTCAGCAGTGGTCGATGCATCAATCAAAACAGGAGGGGAGTGGGTGCAGGCGGGGCAGGGGCGGATGGTGCAGCTCGCGCCCTGCCAGGCACCGGCCGCCACCCCCACAACGCGCCCTCGCCCACCCGCCGCCACCGCGCAGACACAGCCCCAGACCTCGCCAGCCCCCACCTGTGCGCCTCTGCCGCCGCCAGGTCGGTTGCGTGCCGCCTTTGGCCGCCGGCGTCGAACAGCAGGCAGTGGAGCGCTTCGAAGCAGCTGCCGCAGCCGGCGAGCAGGCTTCCAAAGGGGAGGTGCAGGCTGGGCAGGCGGCCCCGCTGCCGCGGCCCCAGCCCCAGGGCCCAGTGCGCCAGGCGGCAGCAGGTGGAGTGCAGCTGGAAGAGGGAGCGGGCGAAGCGGGCCAGGTCGGCTCGCGACGCCAGCGCCGGCACATTGGGAAACAAGGCGGCGGTGGCCGCCGCGTGTGCCGGCGGCACGTCAAACTGGCAGCTCCGCTGGATGCTGGCCTGGCTGGACACATAGGTCAGCACATGCGGGCCGACCACCTGCCAGATGTGCACGGCTGCCGCCATCAGGTCAGCGGGGGCGGTACCGCTCATCAGCCGCAGCGACACGGCGTCCTGCTGGTGCTGGGTCAGAGGCCGCGCCGCCAGCCCGCCCAGCACCGGCACCAGCGGCAGTAGGGCGTCCACGGCGGCTGCCCAGTCTGCCGCCTGCTGCATGCTGCGCGTGTAGTCTATCTTGCACGCCAGGCGCAGCGACTTGGACCACGAGTCGCACAGGCTGTAGGCTGACGCGGCCGCAGGCTCGTGCTGCGTTGCAGGTACCGCCGGTACCGCCGGTACCGCCGTCGCGGCAGGCTGCACGCCGCTCCCCGGCTCCAGCCCCAGCGGCGCCGCCTCCCTGCGGATCACCTCCGCCGCCTGCGCCGCCAGCGGCAGCACCAGCCACCCCGCCTCCTGCACATGCGCGTCGTCGGGCCCCCGCCCGCCGTCCCGCGCGCGGCAGCACTCGCAGGTGAAAGCGGGCGCTGCGCGGCACAGCAGGTCGGCCAGGCACTCTGGGGTGCCCAGGTGGAGGTCCGGGGTGACGCCCGCAGGGCACCGCGGCGGCACCGCCCGCAGCAGTGCCACCACCAGCCGCACAAAGGGCAGGCCGTCGCCGCCATGCGCGTACGCGTGCAGCGCGGGCATCAGCCGCGGGTGCACTATCGCCACCAAGATGTTGGCCAGGAACTGCCAGCGCTGCTGGGCATCGCCGGAGCGGCCGCCGCGAAGGGCGCCGCGCGTGGCGGCTGTCGCAGGCAGCAGGCCCGCGCCCTCGCCCGCGGCGGGCAGTGAGTGGCGCAGGGACAGCCGCACCAGGGCATGCTGCAGGTCTGCATCCTCGCCCAGCGCTGCACGGGCCGGGGCCATCGGGTAGCGCTGCTGCATCTCCGGCGTAGCCATCATCATGGAGCACAGCTCGGCGTGCGCCTCCAGAGCGTCCCCCTGGATCGGACCTGGGTGAAGGTGGAGAGGCGGCAGGGTGGCTGGGTTGGGGTGTGTGGGGCGGTTGGGGACAGCGGGCAGGTGACGGGAGGGAGGCAGGGCGGCAGGCCGGCTGCCCCGGGTGCCAGGCAGGGCGAGGAGGGGGTGGGCGGCGCGCTCACCGCGCCGCTGTGCCTGCTCCAGCAGCAGCCGGGTGGCGGCGCGCAGCCAGAGCGCGAAGTGGTGGGCGCTGTAGAGGGTGCCACGGGCCTCTTCTGCCTCCAGCTGCGCACGAGGCAGGTGGCCAGACAGCAAGTCGAGCACGGCACTCACGACGCGCAGCTGGCAGGACGCCATCTCGGCCGGCCCCTGGCCCTGCCACTGCGGGGCGCCGCTGTCCGCTGCCACCGCAGCAATCCCATCCTCCAGCATGTGCCGAGAGCCCAGCAGCGCCGCCATGGCTGCCTTGCCAAAGCCCAGCAGGGCGCTGGGTGGCAGCGGGGCAGCCGCCAGCGCGACCCGCACGCAGCCAAACACCACCAGGCTAACGGAGAGCGCCTGGACCCCCCGCCCGGCAGCGTCGACAGCGGGGGAGGATGGCCCGCCAGGGACCTTCTCCCGCAGCCAGCGGGACGCTGGTCGCAGGATGCTGCAGGCAAGTGCGCGAGTGTGTGAGAGCGCGAGCGAGCCAGCGGCAGAAGCAGGGACCCAGGGCGGCAAGGAAGCAGGGGCACGGCAGCTGGGATTCACCTTGCGACGGCGTCTGAGGAGCTGAGGCGGTGGCGATGCAGCTCTTCTGTGCTGCTGTAAAATTCCTTGGCGAGTGCGGCCGTCAGACAGTTGGCAGGATCCTGCCGAAGCACGGCCCCCAGACGAAGCCTCAGCAGGTCCAGCACTGCCGAGGCGGAGTTCCGGGCGCGGGCATCTGTCACCTGTGACATGGCTGCGCAATGAGGTTTGGAAGGTTGAGAAGGAAGGGGAGGGGAGTGAGGTGGGTGGATGGAGGAGCGCCGCGCGCGAGGCTGCAAAGGGGCGGTGGGCGGCGGACTGGGACTAGTCGGCCCCAGGCGCGAATCAGCAGGCGCACCTCTGGCACCCCAGCCTCGCGAAACAAAGCCGCGCCGCAGCACGGGGGCCGACTGCGAGAGGGTTGCGTGTGAAGCGGGGGTTGTTTCGTGTCGGCCGTAGCGTGTATCAATCGGCATACGCAACGACCACCTGGGCGATGCTCGCTGCGCTGGGCTGAAATGTCCCCAATGCGGCGGCGCTGACGTGGCGCCACTCGCTGGCAGCGGCTACATCCTACATCCAGCCCCTCAAATTGATGGGATCTGGCAGGGCCGGCACAAGCGCACCGAGCGAGATGTGCTGGCATAAAGTGCCTGCAGGCGGTGCAGCACAGAAGTAGGCTGCCACCACAGCTTCGCCCTCACCTGCTGCCGCCGCTGTTGGTGCAGCTGCCCTGGCCGTGGTAGAACCAGGCGAGCATTGTGATGGGAGCCAGCAGGCCCCGTACTAAGCAGGGACAGCGTGGCCCGATCCCCACATTTCCGCCTGCGCCCCGCCTCGCCGCCGTCCCGCCCTCGTCCATCTTCATGTTGCTGATGCACACCACCGTTCACATGGACTGTGCTGCTTGTTCTTGCTACATAACTGCCACAGGCAATCAAATTAGAGCGTCACAACCCTGCCGACAGCTGGCTGTACCTGGTGGAGCACAGCAGCCAGGTTTTGGATAGAAGGTACCACGCGACAAACGTGCGCCCGAGCAGGCCGGCGGCGCCGCCAAAAAGGGTGCAGAGCAAGCGGTCAGATCCCGCCACTGCCTGCTGCGACAGCTTGTCCGCCCGCTGCCACGCACTGCTGCCGCTGCCACGTGCGGCACTCCTTCTGCCTGCAGCACCTGCTGGAGGCTGCCAGCACCAGGCCAGCAGCAAGGTGGGCAGGAGAAAACCCACTACAAGGTGAAACATGTTCACGACCGCAAGGCAGGCTTGCTCTGGTGCAACGTGACCTGCGGGCGGGAGCGAGAAGCAAATATCGGCTTAGCATGCATGGGGTGCCGGGGCAAACACACACGGCAACTCGCAGCAGCAGCATGGGTGCTGAGCGCCAGTGCAAATGCTCCAGCTTTGCCTCACCTGCTGGTGCTGGTGCTGATGTCGCTGCCAGCAGTGGGCCGGCAATGGGCTGTACGGCCGCAAGCGGCAGGGCTGCGACGTCCAGGGCTGCAAACACGCTGACCTGGCGCGCATGGGAGAGAGGGTGGCTCAGCAGCACCGTCCGGCAGTAGCCTGACGTGTTGCAGGTCAACAGGGTGGAGGCGGCATGCACCACCACGGCTGCCGTTGGCGGCAGCGGCATGAAGACGCTGATGAGGAGGAGAAACATCGCCCTCGACCCTGCAGGGCAGGCAGCCAGGAGACCAGGGCGGTGGCGGGTCAGTTGCTCAGGCAGGGAGCAAACAGATGCTGACTTGATGTGCGGCGCTTGCGGCAGCGACGACACGGGCACGCACCGTTTCCCAGGCGCAGCAGGTCTCGCGCCACCCCGCCCCAGCCTGGCGCTGGCGTTTTTGCCAGCGCAAGTGCGCTGCCCATCTGCAGACACCAGGGACCAAGCAAGCAGGCTGTGGCTGTGCAAGCGGGCTTGCAAATGAGGTTAGGCCGCGCAACGCAGGCAAGCACGGCGGCGATGTTGTGGGCAAGCGCACTTACCGTTGCACTGCGAGCGCATGGGGGCAGGGCGTTCAGGACGCGCAGGATAGGCAGCAGCCAGGTCCTGCAAACTATGCAGTGGTGCAGAGCTGCACTCACCTCGCGGGAGCTGGCACGCCCAACGCAGGCAGGCGCAACCGCCCTGCTCCCGCAAGATTGTGGGCCCTGCGGCAGGCAGCGCCTCGCCTGTGCCTCCAGTACAGCCTTGGCATGGCGGCGATCACGCCCGCATCCAGAAGGTAGGTGGCCAGCACCAGGCTGGTCCACAGCACGTCTGGCACCAGGAAGACGGCCAGCCCGCTGCCCGCCTCCATGCGCCAGTGGCGGTGCACCAGCACCACCTGGCTCACGCTGGCGATGCATATGGTCAGCAGGTCCAGGTACAGCGATGGCTGGACGCCCCATAGCCTCTCGATCGGGGGGCTGCTGGTGGCGCCAGGAAGTGTGCGAATGGAGGGTGGCCGGGGTGCGGCAGCGGCGGCGGGGCGTGGACCAGCGGTGTGCTGCTCGTTGCCCCCGCTGGGCGCTGCAAAGCCCGCCAACTGCCCTGCTGCGCTAGTCGAAGCCAGCGCAGCCGTCTCTCCGAGCAACGCTGGCGGGGATGCATCCCTTGCGGAACGCCCGTCCTGTCGAATTGCTGCCATTGAAGCGAGTTAGAGCGTGATGGCGCACAATGGGCATCAACAAGCGGCGCTTTGGGGCGTCCGTCCTCTGATAGGCACATCATGCGGTACACTCGGCGCCGCTTGCCGCCCTGTGTTAATGGAGCTGCGCTCAGCTGCCCTCTCTTCTGTGTCACATTTATCGCCGAAACACTGATTTGAAACCACACCATCATCAAACACCTACAGATCTGCTAGTAAAGCGGTCAGGTTGCAGGCTGCGGTGCCACGCAACAGACGAGCGCACAAGGGGTGCGCGGCCGGCGGCAAGAAGGGTCTCTGCTGCACCCTGCTGCGCCACGGCCCTACTCAACCTGCCAGCGGGTACTCTGCCAGCTGGCGCCAGCTGACCAGCGTGCGGTCGATCTCCTCCGTCTCCCACACTGCAGCAGGGGTGGCAGGGCCGGGGGGCGGGGGCCGCCGTTTCGGCAGGCAGGCCACAAGGTGGCTGTGGCTCCACAATGCGGGCATGATGCTGAGGGCTGCCGAACAGAGCCCAGAACAGGCATGGGAGAAATCAGCGCCAGCCGCCCCCACCCGTCACGCTGGCCACATCAAAGCCACGCTCCTCGCCCTGCAGCAGCGCCCCCTGCCCCCCCTGCCCCTCCAACAGCCGCTGCTGCGCCTCCGCTGCTATGCCCTGCCTGCACGGGGGCATGCAAGCGGTTCAGCCCGCGGCTCTCGGCGCCCTTCAGGCGCTGCACACAGGCGGTTCGCAACAATGCAGGGTGCCACCTCCCATGCAGTCCATGCACCCCGCCCACCTCTCCAGCTCGCTGATGTCGCTGTACAGCAGCGACAGGTGCGGCATGTAGGCGGCGGCGGGGTCCTGGCCGAACGCCGCCCGCGCCGCCGCGCCTGCCTGCACCCAGCACTAGTGGCCAACGGCTGGACCCGTTATCAAAGCAGCCGACTATGGCCGGCTGGTAGTGGCACCACTGGCCCCGCCTGCACGGTCCCAAAGCGGCACAGCTCTCGCCTGCATCGTGTCGGGTTGCGTCTCGCACAGCAGGTACACGCACTGGTGGAAGATGGCGCCGCAGGCGGCACGGGCAAAGGAGATGCGGTACGGCTGCAGCACTCACAACAGCGCCATGCACCCGTCAACGGCCGATAGGCCGGCCCCTGCCAGAGATGGACAGGGCCTGGTGGGCCATCAAAACAGCGCATGCAGATGACCTGCCTTCAGTTTGGCAGCTAGCTGCTGTGCCCGCTGGAGCACATCAGCCTCAGTGGTGTGAATGCCGCCCAGCAGCGTGACGTGCGGCAGGAAGGGCGGCGCGCCCGGCACCCGCGCCGAAAGGCTCCGTATCTCGCCGTGCAGCTTGTCGGCCACCGGGCCTGCGGCAGAGAGAGGCAGCGGAAGCAGGAGAGCGGTGAGCGGCGCGCGGCTCCGGCAGCAGCAGCAGCGGCGGCAGCGACGACAGCAGGTAGGCGCAGCGCTGCGTCCATCCGGATGCGTGCATACCTCTGGGCATGACCCACAGCGAGTAGCTCTTGACCGCGCCTGCCATGCCTCCAAATGGCGCTGCGCGATCACTGGAGAACTAATCGGAAAGCGAGTTGCCCTCCAATAATGTATCGAGGTGACTAAGAGACGCAATTCATGGGTGCAATAGATGGTTTGGCGTATCCAGCTATGAACGGCGGCGGCCCGCTGGCGCCAGCGGGGCGGCGGCAAACTGGCGGCAAACCGACCGTGGCCATCCTGAGGGTGTCTGTGTGATTCCCATGCATCGACGTTCTGCAACCACAATCGCCCCTGTCAGAGTGCTGTTACAAAGGCCCACAGGAGCAGTGTGCACGTGCCATGCAGAGTCGGTGTTGCCAAATGAGGAGCAAAGCAGAGGCTCGAGCTGGGAGAGGAAGCGAAGATAGGCCGCTGGGTAAAAGAGTAAACCAAGTGCTGGGGATGGTCTGATGGAGAAACACGAGCAAGCGCTCGCTGCATGGTGCTGCAACGTGAGGGCAATGACCTGGCAAGCCCTGCTGCCGGCTTCTGCTGCCGAGCAGCAGCAGCGCGACGTTCATCAAAACTTGCCCTCCATCTGCTTGATGAGCGACTGTATCGCCGCGGGGCCGCCCATCATCTTGAGCATGTGCGGAGGCAGCATGCGCGACATCTGCGCGATGTTTTGCTGCAGGGGGCCAGCGGCGGCGGGCAGGCCCGGCGACAGGGCGTCGAACACAAAACCACTGCAGTAGCCCGCAGCCCGGGCTTCACTGGCACGCGCCAGCGCGGGTTGCGCCCCGCATCCCACCACGCACGCCACTCCACCCCAACCCCGCACCTGCATGTTGCGGGGGTTGATGTCTCCCTTCATGTTCTTGGGCAGCTTCATGCCCTTCATAGCAGCTGCGGGGCAGGTGGCGCCCGGGACGGCAAGCACACCGCCTGAGCGGAGGGAACACGCCGGGCGCCAGGCAGCCTGCTGCCCGACAGGCGGGCCGCCGGTCCAGGCTGCGCTACGGCCCGCCCCGCTCTCCCTCCAACAGCCACACCACCCACCACCGCAACGCCGTCGCCGCAACACACATGCAGCCCACGCCCGCAGGCCACTCACTGGAGAAGACCTTGGCCAGGCGCTTGTACTCCTCCAGCAGCAGCAGCACGTCCTGCACGCTGCTGCCCGACCCGCGCGCCCAGCGCAGGATGCGGCTCTGCTCCCCCAGCAGCTTGGTGCTGCTGCTGTCCAGCTCCTTCTCTGTAGGCAGGCATGGGAGGGGTGGCGGCAGGTTCCGCATGAGCAGGCAGGGGGCGCCTGCGGCTGGACGTGGGCAGGACACCTCGCCCTGCAACCCGCCACTGGGCAGACACAGGACTGCCGCCGCAGCAATGCACCCTGCAGTGGCGCAGTTTCAGCGGTACCTCCGGCAGTACACCCACCCGTCATGCTGTCCATGATGGTCATGTACCGCTTGATCTTGGCCTGGCTCTCCTTCTCGCTGCCCGGCTGCATGAGCGCGTTGGAGAAGCCGGGGATCATCGACATCACCTGCGGCGGTCAGGCAGGAGGGAAAGACGGGTCAATTGGGAGGCAGGGAGGAGGGCTCAGCCGAGGACAGGAACGTGGTGTAGGAACGGGACAGGAAGCGGCAGACAGGTGGGGGTGGCAGGGGCGAGGGGAAGGGAGTGGCCCTGGAGCAACCAGGCGCATGCACGGCCTGGGTCGCAGGCTTGCTGCAGCGCAAACACACACCACACACACACACACACACACACACACACACACACCTGCCCCATGGGCCCCATCTTCATGATGTTGGCAAACTGCTCGTACATAATCCTGCAGGGGGGTGCAGGGCGGGCGTAATTAGGGGGGCCACATGCAGCATGAGAGGAAGGCGACCGGAGAGCGGGGGCGGAATGCATGCAGGGGCTGTGCACCCCCAGCACCATGTAGCAGCCTGTAGATGCCCTGGAAGCGCCCCGCAAGCCCCTCCCCACCTGAGCGTGAACTCCCCCTTGCTGATCTTGTCAATCAGCTCCTGCTGCGCATCTTCCTGCAGGCGGGGAGGAGGCAGCGGCAGTGAAGTGGCGGCGAGGCATGGGATTAGTGCGCCGGGGTGGAGGACACGCCAGGGCGCAGCGGCCTCCTGGGGCTGAGCACCGCAACTGCTCGGTGCGAGCCATGCTAGCAGCATGCACGGTGGCACCGCCGGCAGTCGGTACCGCCAGCGGTACCGCCTCACCTCTGGTATCACGTCCTTGACCTTGTCTATGAAGGAGCCCCAGTCGCCGCGCCCCAGCAGCCGCCCCACAAACTTCTGCGTCTCAAACGACTCAAACTCGTGCATGTGCTCGCCTGCGGGGGGCAGGAATGGTCGGGCGGTGAAGGGCGGCGGAGGCAGCGAGGATGATGCGTGTGGGGCGTGCGCGGTGAGACCCTCACGCATCTGTGCACAGCAACCCCAGCAGTAGGGCCCCACCAGAGCCCACCACACCCACCCGTGCCGATGAAGGTGATGGGGGAGCGGGTGGCGGCCACCGCCGACAGCGCGCCGCCGCCCTTGGCGTGGCCGTCCAGCTTGGTGATGATGACCTGGCCCACCTGCGGGGAAGAAAGAACGCAAGAACGGCAGGAACGAGGAGCTCAGCCCTCACACCGGCGAGCACAAGCCGAGGCACCCGCTCAGGCGCCCAAACGAACTACCCCAGCGACTCGGCTGCCGGCAGCACACGCCCGGCACGCAGTCCATGCAGCAAGTGCCCCGCAGCGCCCCGCCGGCCAGCCCAGCGCCAGCTCAGTGCCAGGTCAGCGCCTGCCAGCCCCGTCCCGCTCACGTCCACACTCTCGTGGAAGGCCTTGGCCTGGTCGAACGCCGCCTGGCCGATGGATCCGTCCATGACAAAGATGACGTGCTGCGGGTTGACGGCTGCGGTACAACAAGCGGGACATGGGGCGGTACATGTAGGCGGATCGGCAGTCCATCAGCGGTGGTGATGACTGTGTTAGAAGGAGGCGTGGGCAGCATGCAGGGCAGGGGGTGCCTGCTGTGCTGGTGCCTGATGGCCCAGCGCACGGAGCGTCAGCCGGCCCAGCCAGCAAGCCACCCACATGCAGCGCCCTGGCCGCCACGCTGCTCGCCGCCAGGCGCACGTGGAGCCCACCTGCCGCCACCTGCCGCATCTCCTCAAACAGTGCCTCCTCCTGCTTGTGCCTGCCGCTGGTATCCACGATGATGAGGTCGCTGCAGGGACCAGCCACAGGCGGGCAGGCGCCGGGAGGGAGGATGCGTGAGGTGCTGCCTCGGGCAGGTGAGGCGGAGGGCGCAGAAGCAGGAGCGGGTAGGAGTGTGGGGGTGAAGGCATGCATGGGCACGGCAAGGCTCACGCAGCCTCGACTCTGGAACCGGCGCCGCAGCCAGGGCACACGCCAGCAGGTGGTGTGGTATGCAGGTGCCACGCCGCCAGCGGAGCAACACCCCCGCCGGCCCCGAGCAGGCTCACCGCCCCTCCTTCTTGAACCGGTCCACGCCCTGCTGCGCGATGATGGCGGGGTCGGTCTCGGTGTAGGAGCCGTAGAAGGGGATCTGCAGGGTAGGGGAGGGGCAGCAGTAAGGAGGTCCGGCCGGGTCAGGAAGGAGGATGGGCGGGCCAGGGTGGTGGGAGGGCCAGGGTGTTGGGGCGAGGTGCAGTAGCAGAGGGGCAGGAGGTGCGGCGCCGCCCAGCGCAGCAGGTGGCCCAAGGGCGCCTGCCCAGCCGGCAGTCCCCCACCTGCGCCTTGGTGGCGTTCTGCTTCAGCTGGTCAAAGGCGCCCGCGCGGAAGGTATCCGCGCACACCTGCAGGGAGGGTGGGGAGGGGGGGGGTCAGCAACACGGGGGTGGCCAGCTGGGGCGTGCTCCCTGTGCTCACGCACACAGCACCAGAGTCGCGCCGCCACGCGGGCGAGGAGCGCGTACAGCACCGCAGGCGAGGGCTGCGCACCATGGCTGGCTTGAACCCCTTCTTCTTCCACAGGAAGGCATACTTGGTGCAGGTGGTGGTCTTGCCCGCGCCTGCACGCCAGCAGCGCCAGGCAGCCAGCCGATTCCCAGTAAGGCTGCACGCCCAGACGGCGACTCCATCCCGGGCCGGCACAGGCCTTGCCCAGCCTCCTTTCGCAGATGTGGCTCCACGCCCACGGCTGCTCCGCAGCCCCCTCCCGCCAGATGTGCAGAGCTGGCAACAGCGCCAGCGCCGCCACCACCAGCGGCGGCAGCAGCAGCGGCTGCCCCAAGCGGCAGCGGCGGCCCGCCCACCCTGCAGTCCCACAAACATGACGATGTTGGTCTTCCCCTTCTTCAGCTCCGTCTTCTTGGGGTCCCCGCCGTCCAGCATGGAGCACAGCTCGTCAAACACAGCCTGCGGCGCGGTAGAGGGCAGCACAGCACCACCGGCTGGTCGGGTGTATGATTGTGCAGAGGCGCGGCGTGGCAGCCGCCGACGTAACCGCCCATCCCCAAGCCGTTTTACGCGCATCCAAGCTTGGCCGAGAGCCTGTCTTGGTGTCCCAGAAGGCTGCTTCAGGGCCTTCTCACGCCCATACAATCCACACCACCACCCACACACATACACCCAGCACCCACCTTCTCGATGACCTTCTGCTTGTTCAGTCCGCTGGCCAGCTGCTCCATGTTGACCCGCTTCTTCACATTGTTCCTGCAATGAGAAGGGCGGAGGGCAGGCATTGAGGCTGGCAGGTGGCCCGCAGAGGCAGGGCAGGGCACGCAGTCGCAGGGAGGGCGGCAGAGACCACCCCAAGCTGGCCCGCACCTAAGGTTGGCCACCAGCCGCACGTTCACGTCTGCTTGCAGCAGCGCGGTAGCGATCTCCTTGAGGCAGGCATCCAGCACCTGCCGGGAAGGCGGAGAGGGAAGCGGTGGGTGGCGGCAGAGCGGGGCAGGGAGGAGAGTCACATGAGTCACATGGCGAAGAAAGAGCCGAAAGCGGAAAACAAGAAGCTGAATGAGTCTTTGCTTAGAGAAGCAGCTGCAGCAGCGGCACCACCATGTCTTTGCTGATCACCGCCAATCAAGTGCACCACTAGAGAGCAGCCACCAGCAGCAACAATGAGAGAGACTGGAGGTGGCGGCGGCGGGTGGGAGGCGGCGGCGCACCGCTTCGTCCACCACGGGCACGGCGTTCAGGGAGCCCAGCGCCTGCGAGATGCGCTGTCCCAGCTCCGCCAGCACCATCTTGGCCCACGCTAGCCCCCAGCGGCCAGGTGCGGGGGTGGATGGTCGGGGCAGTGCACGGCGCAGGCAAGCGACCGCTGCTCTATAGCCGGATGGCCTTCAGCGATGGAACAAGGCCGGGGGGAGGCTGCCAGAAGCTCCACGAGCAACAAGTGTGGTCTTTGGTATTGCCGGCTTGGTAGTATGCTGGAGTGATCGGCAGGCTCGAAAGACGCACTGTGGTGTCGGTGGGGCTGTGAAAGGCAGCTGCACTGGTCGGCCCGGTACAGTACCTGCAGGCAATTTTTCCTGCCCGCGTGGAGCGTTTCGGGCCGCTGCCTACTCGGGATCGCTCTTCTAGCGTCCTTGAAGGCCATCTGGGGCCCGAGGCGAATTCTGGCCGCTCTTCTCGAAACAACCCAAAACCAGGCTCCCTGCGCGGCTCGTGCCCGGGTACCAAGCTTCTAGAGGCAGCGAGGTGCGCGGCAGGGGCGCCTGGCACGCTGCCTGCTTTTTTGCCACTGTGCTGTGGTCGGGCAGGCAAGAGGTCGCTCTCGACAGCCGCTCTTGCAGGCAGCCACGCTCCCATGGCTGGCCAGGCGGGCCCGGCGGTGCAGCCGCCCACCTCCCTGCCGCTGCCCGCCTGCACGCCCGTCACCCCGCAGACACCCACCGGCCAATGTTGCCCGCCGCCCCCGGGGGCTGGCTCTACCCAGCCAAGCTCTCGGCGGCGCTGCCCAAGTACCGCGAGCTGCTGCGCACTCGCAGCACCAGCAACAGCGGCGGCATGGATGAGAGCAGCAGGTGCGTGCGCCCCCTCTGCCGCCCTCTCCACAGCCCCGCGCTGCACTGGCCCTGCAGCGGAGGCCCCGTCAGAAGCCGGCACTGCTGAGCACGCTGCTGCCATTCCTCCCTTGCCGCCTTTCCCCCTGCAGCTTGTTCCAGCAGGCCAAGGAGCGGGTGCTGGCTCGGGCTGCTGCCCGCCGCGCCGCCGTCTCTCGCGTCGACCCACGCCGCGCCTTTGGGCGCGTGCAGGAGCGCTGGGCGGCCACCCGCCTGCGCCTTCGCGACCTCAAGAACGAGCAGAAGGAGCGGCTGCGCCAGTATGTGGCCACCGCGGTGGGAGGGAGCAAAGCCCTCGATAGCAGCATCATCAACAGCAGCAGCAGCAGCAGCAAGGGCAGTGCAGGCATTAGCCACACCGCCGGCCGCTCCAGCGCGGAGCTGGCTGGCGCGCAGCAGGCTGCGGTGACGCAGCAGGCGGCGGCGACGCAGCAGACTGCGTCCCCGGAGGCAGTGGAGGCGCAGGGCGCGCTGGATGCCGAGGCCGCTGCCGCTGTGATGGGCGCCGATGGCCCGCTGAGGGTGAGGCTGGCTGCTGCTAGGCTCGCTGCATGCACGCCCAATCGCGCCGCCGACAAGCCCCGGTCTGCTGTTTGCTTGTAGATTAGCATGCACCTGTTCTGTTTGCCTGCTGGACCCCCGCCAGCCCACCCACGCGTTTCATGCCCCGCCCCTGCCCGCCTCTGCCCTCCGTCCCGCAGCACCTGGTGCTGGCCGGCGTGGGCGGTGCCTGCAAGCTGTTCCTGTCAGCCGGCGCGCGCACGTCTGTGTCGGGGCAGGAGCACATGGTGGCGGCGCTGGGGCGGGCCCCCACCCGCGGCCTCATCACCGTCAGCAACCACGTGGGGGCGATCGACGACCCGCTGGTCACCGCCTCCAGTGAGCCCCCGGCAGCCCGTGTGCAGCCGTGCCAGCTGTGTGCAGCGCTGCCGTGTCGCATCCGCGCTGCCTGTGCGCTGCTTTTCCGCCGCCTTGGTGGCTTGCTGTTTGTGGGGGAGGTGCCAGCCCGATCCGTGCAAGCGTGCCACAGGAGCCACGCCGACATCACCTGCCCGCCCCCGCTTCCCCAACCGCCGCAGTCGTCCCCGCCGGAACGCTGCTGGAGCCGGGCGCGGTGCGGTGGACCCTGTGCGCCACCGACCGCTGCTTTAGGAGCGCCGCGCTGGCGCCGTTCTTCCGCGCCGCAAAGGTGGGGGCCGGCCGGGCAGCTGCAGCACGAGGGCGGGCATGCTGCAGCACGGGGCTGCTGCCCTCGGGGGTGGCTGGCGTGCAGTGGCCATGGAGGACCGGGGGGGCGTACGTACCGCGCCCCGCCTGCTGGCAGGGCCGGTGCGCGTGCCTCTCCCGGCACCCCGGCAGCCGCCCTCATCTTGCTGTGACACACACACACACACACACACACACGTCTTGGCCTGCAGGTGCTGCCTGTGGAGCGCGGCGCGGGGCTGGGCCAGTTTGGGATGCGGCTGGCGCAGGTGTGGGCGCGGCCTGCGGGGAGGGAGAGGGGCTGCTGCCTGCCTGCCTCTCCTTGACATGGATCCCTTGCCGGCCTGCTCGCCCTTGCTGCATTTGCTCTGCCATCTCCACCTCATACCTCCCCCGCTGCCATGACCCACGCCCTGCGCCTCTGCTCGTCCCCGCAGTCTCGGCTGCTGGAGGGGCAGTGGGTGCATGTCTTCCCGGAGGGAACACGCAGCCGGGACGGCCGCATGCTGCCCGTCAGGTGCGGCGCTGGGGAGCCACCTGCGCAGCGCCGTGTGTTCTCTCGAGCCCCACCCCCGGGCCTGGCCTGTGTGCGCTCCCTTCACCAGGGGAGGGAAGCCTGCCGCTCCCTCCGCAGCCCGCCGCCTGTGCCCGTCAACTGCCTCCTCTGCCTGCCCACGCACCCCCGCCTTCCACCCCGCCCGGCCCGGCTGCAGGAAGGGCGTGGGCTGGCTGGTGGCCTCTGCCGTGGCGGCCGGCGGCGAGCCTCCCCTTGTGCTGCCCTTTGTGCACAGCGGCATGGAGAAGATCATGCCCAAGGGGAGCGCCCTGCCCAAGCTGGGTGGGTGCCGGCTGCCGGGGAGGGCAGGTGCAGGCTGTGCGTTGCTGGCGTGCACAGACCGCGGCGCGGCGGCCGCGCCGACGGCCAGTGGCGACACGTCTCAGAGGCTCGCCGCAAACTGCACCGGCTCTTTGCGTCCGACTGCGGCTCTGATGTGTGCCGGCCAGCCCCCCCCCATCTCTCCTTGCGTGTGCAGGCCAGGAGCTGCGCGTGCTGGTGGGGGAGCCGGTGGCGGTGGAGGACTTGCTGGCGGCCGCGGTGGCACAGGGCTGGGCCGAGCAGCGCCTGCAGGCCGCCATCGCCGACCGCGTGGGGCAGGTGTGTATGCTGTGTGCGAGTGTGTGAGCGGCAGCGGCTGTGGGGAGCACAGCTGGCAAGCATGCACGCAGCCACGGGACCTGCTGCTGCTCTGTGGCGGGTGCGTGCCGCTTACTGTCGCCTGAACGGCTGCTGTGCTGCAGGCGATGTACAGCTTGAAGGCCCGGCTGGATGGCCTGCCGCTTGAGGAGGTGGCGCCTCAGCCGCGCGCCGCCGCCATCTCCATCTCTGAGGACACTCTGCTGCCCCTGATTGGTGAGGGTGCTGCTACTCATGCCGCTGCCTAGGGAACATACGTCATGCGTGTACCACCCTGCTGCGCCCGTCGTTAGGATAATCGAATCTTTGGTTACTTGCCTGTTTCCCGCCCCTGTGTGTTCTGCAGAGGACGAGATGGACAGCCTGGCGCACCGCTGGCACGACGGCTGGCAGCGCCTCTCCCTTCCCTCCATCACGCAGCAAGTGCGCCAGGAGGCCGCCTCGCGCCGCGCCATGCTGCGCTCCGGCGGCGTGTTTGGCGCGGATGCAACTTTTGAAGAGATTGCTGCAGCGACGGAGGAGGCTGCGGGGCTCATGAGCGGCTGGGAGCATGCAGGCGGTGCGCCGGCCCCATGGTCTGCCGCTCTTTCAGCTGCAGCAGTGGGGCATGCAGGCGGTGCAGCTGCTGCCTGGAATGCCGCGGCACCTGCCTCTGGCACGCAGCCCCTGCTGCTGCTGCGCCAGAAGCTGCGGCTGCTGCGCGGTGGCGCGCTGTCTGGCGCGTCCGCCCCACTTAGTGCTGACGCTGGCAGCAGCGGCAGCAGTGTGGACGCCACCACCACGCCCAGCAGCAGCAATGGCAGCAGGGCTGCACTCGCGGCAGCGGCCTCTCCTCTGGACTTGGTGGCAGCCAGGGCGTCGGCAGACGGCGCCAGCGGCGGCAGGCTGGCCGCTTTGCTGGCTGTTGCTGCAGGCTACTCTGCAGCACGCATGGCTCACATGCGCGAGCTGCTCCTGCCAGCTGATGCTGCTGCCTCGGGCTCCCCTGCCGCCGCCTGACATTGCAGGCTTGTTGCAGCAAATGTTTCTGTCATACACACCCATCTTATTTTGGCCTGTCCATGTGTATTGTGTGTGATGCCCCGCCTCCATTTTTGTGCGTACCAATGTACACATTTCTGCAGACGCCTTGTCCGCTCTTTACCCTGTCTTGCCCCTACCTTGTTGCCTGCTGGCCGATTGCATTGTCTGCCCTGCCATCACGGGCGCCTCAGTTTTGGTTGTCTCAAGCATCTGGTTGTAACATAGATATAGTCGTGTTGGGATGGTGAGGGGGTCGTAGCAGCTGCCTTGGGATGAGGAGGGGCAGCTGCTGGTCCCAGCTGTCGGTGCCCACCATGCCAGCTATGATGCACTGTGGGGGCCGTCCGTTTGGTGTCCCAGAGGTCCCCGGCCTTTCCGAGCCGCCGCCTCATTCATCCATGGCCGCAGCTGCTTCATTGGCGCCAAACCTCACTGTCGGACAGCCGTTCTGAAGCCGAGTTGGCAGCTGCATGCAGCTGCCACGGGTGCAAGAGCCACCCATGCAGCCATTATCTCGAGCCATGCTTTAAGCCAGCCTGACGCGCTTCTTCCATCTCATTTCTCGCCCCTGCATCGCCGCGGCCCCTTTCCTGGCCCTGCGCCTCCTCTTCGCGCAGCCTCCACGCAGTTCCCACGTAAGATGAGGGTCTCCACGCTCCTGATGGCGCTGGTCCTGGCCTTCCTGGCGTTCGGAGGCATTGTTAGGTGCGGGGGAGGGGCCGCAGGGGAGGGACGGTGGCAATGCCGACTCATGCATCCCATCCCAACGATGGGCTCGGTTCAGACTCTGCCGAGAGCGACCTGCCTGCCTCAATGCCGGCTTCCAATGCCCCTGTGCACTGATCTGCACGTGACGCTCCCCTCGCCACGTTGCCCGCCACTGCCTGATGTACCCAGAAGTGCCGTGATGCTGCCGCCGCTCTGCCACACTGAGCCAAGGCACGAGCGAAGCTGCCCTGCCGAGTTTCTGTCCTGTCCCGCATGTGCTCATTCCCTGCCGCTGTCCGAACCTGTAGGGCTCAGCTGGACAATCCTGGAGCAGCTGTGGTCGCCCACGGGGACGACTCCTCGACCTGGCAGGGCGCCCACCGTTCGATACTGGATGACGACGAGTGAGCAGAGCTGGGTGGAGGGGAGGGAAGGGAGGCAGAGGGGCTTCTGGGGCGAGCTTGACGGCGCCCGCTTTGCACACGAGCGAGTATAGAACGCATTCTGCCCCAGGTGGTGGACAGTGCCCCCACTGACCAGCCGGCGGCAGAAGCTAGTTAGGAAGCTGACGCCCCCACCGGCCTGCTACCCGTCTGCCCTGCCTCGCAGTGATGATGACGATGATGACCCGCCCAAGCTGACTTGTGAGTCTGCTAGCACACAGGGTGGCGGTGGGGGCAATGCGCTCTGCTGTGCCACCGGATCTGCACTCGTGACGGATGTTGAGCCAGGGGCGCCTACCAGTGTTTCTGGCCCTCGTGGCAGCTTTGGCGATGGGCGGGCGATGAGGACTGCTGTCGCGTCCAAATTTCGCCAATCAGCTGGCGATGGCACATTGAGGATTGGCGAAATGCGGGGGAGCCACCCTTGCGCCTGGCACAGCGCAGCGGCCACATGCGGCGCCGCTGTTGCTTTGTCGGCACTTGCCTCCCTTTTGGGGGACTGGGGGCGAAGCCCCCAGCAAGCTGGCGCTTGTTTAACACTATGGAATGAAGTTCCTGAGGAAAATTGGCCATTTCTCCTCAAAATATTGGCGATGTCAGTCATGGGGGCTGGCGACGCGCTGGCGATGTCGCCCCGCCGCCTGCCCTCATTTAGCCAGCTCTGGCTGGCGATGGCCTTCGGCCAATCGCCAGCCAGAGCCGTTTTTTGGCCCGATTTCGCCAGCATTTGGCGATTTCGCCAGCTTTCAGAAACACTGGCGCCTACCTGCCTGCCTGCCAGCTGGCAGGCCTGTGCCAATTGTCCGCCTGCCAGCCTGCCGGCTTGCTTGCCAGTGTTGGTGCCTGATGCGCGGCTTACGTGCGTGTCCGCTCCGCCGCTGCAGGCGCCCGCAAGAGGTGCCCCGCTGGCTCTTTCTGCGTCACAGTGGTGAGGCCTCTGCCGTGCTGTGCATTTGGGGGAGCTCACACATGCGTGGCATGCGTGCATGCCCCTGCCGCTGCCGCTGCCCTTGCCGCCTGATCCACCAAAGCCAACCTCGACCCCATCCCCGTCCTTCACATTTGGCTGCAGAAGGGCAAGCCCACCTGCATCAAGGCCTCGTGCGTGGTGCCCACCCCGGTCAGCCCCTGTGCCGTTAAGAAGTGCGGCAAGGGCAAGAAGTGCAAGGTCGTGGTGAGCCGGCGCCCAGCTGCTGCCACCTGCCTGTATGCCGTTCTGGTCCAAACCAGCCGCTGATGCCGCATGCGGCGTGGTTTCCCCTGTCGATCAAGTAAACACCCAAACCGTTTCTGCGCCGCCGCTGCACTCAACCGTGGCTGCAGGGCAAGCTGGGCCGGTGCGTCAGCAACTGCGACGGTGTCAAGTGCGCCACCGGCAGAGTCTGCCGCCTCACCCTGGTGAGTTGCTGCCTGCATCCGGCTGCAAGTTGGGAGGCCACGCAGCCACCCATTTGCTGCAGCCAGCCAGGCTCGCGTCCGTTGCGCCGACCCCTTGGCTCACCTGCCCCTGCTACCTAACTTGCAAGAGATCAGCTGGCTGCTGACAGGCTCAGCCGCCCCGCCGCGCTTAGCACCTGTGCGCTGGTGCACGCCCCGCTTGCAGAAGGGCAACCCGGTCTGCCTGCCAGTTCGCCCCAAGCCTTCCGACGACGACGACGACGACAAGTGATTGATTCGCTATCAGCATGATGCATGCATCCTGTTGGCCCAAGCCGTTGGCGCTCGCCACACATCAACCGACCGCGGCAGCGAGGTGTTGCCTGGCTGGCCCCCGCACGCCCGTTCACCGTCTCTTTGCAAACTGCCTCGTTGCAAACTGCCTCTGGGATCTTCAGGCATTCATCCCGCCTCTTCTGTTTCCCTTGTCCCCTCTGCGCTCCACCCCGGGGGCCCTGCCAGCAGCAGCCTGCCATCACCAGTAGGTGCCCTCGAGAGCTCGCCGCCCGCTGCATCTGCCACCTGGGATGAGCCAGAAACCCAATAAAAGACGTCCCCTCCATTGATTTGTCCATTACCCAGCATGATGCGCTACTGATCTGTCACCCAGAGCCAGTGCTAGTGGCCCTGCTCTACCGATCCCCTCCCCCCTTGTGCCTTTTGCCCTGCCTAATAAAGCTCACCCAAATCTGTAACAGTTATACTAACAGTGGCAGATAGCAAATTTGGTGAAAGAGTCGTATCGTTGGGTGGGCACCATAGTGCAGCAAATTCAGGCAGTCCCAGGCGAGCTCTTCAACATCCAAAAGCCGACTGGCGGCAGCCGCCCCAGCAGGCAGAGCAGATGTTTTGCGCCATGCCCTCAAGGTGCGCCCTCCTGCGTATGTTGCTTCCAGTCGCCCTGGGAGGCCCATCGCCACAAACGACCAGAGGGGAGCGGGGGCCGAGCGCTGCGGCCCCATGAACGCCTACCGATCGCCTGGTCCGGTCCTGGCGATGCAGCAGAGCCTTGCCTCGCCGACGTCCAGCACCGGTGGCAGCAGCCGGGGAGCGCACCACGCAGGACAGACGCCCATCGACTCGCTGCCGCTGCTGGCGTCCACCAGCCGGCTGCGCAGGAGCGCCAGCAATGCCAGCTCGGCGGCAGGGGCAGCTGGCAGCCCGGCGGCGGCGGGCGCCCGCGGCGGCGCCGCCAACCTCCCGCCCACCGCCAGCTCCCCGCAGCACCAGCTGCTCACCACACCCAGCTTTGGGCGCACAGCCAGCAACAGCAGCGGCAGCAGGGGCCGCGCCTTTGCGGCGCCCCTCAGCCCGGGCTTTGGCGGCAGCGGTCCCCTGAGCGGCATCCGGCCGCGCTTCGGGGCGGCGGCACCGGCCAGCGGCGGCGGCGGCGGCTGCGCAGCGTTGGACCGCCGGTTTGGTGGCAGCAGCCGCCGGCTGTCAGCACCCACAGGCTACTCAGAATCAGGCATGTCTGGTGAGGAAGGGGGGCTGAGTGGTTCGGATTGGAGCGGCGGGGCATTGCTTGGGTGTGAGCGTTTTTGCTGCTGCCGCCAGCCGCAAGTTAGGACACACACGTCGGTTGCATGCTTGCCCCTTGCACTGAACCCCCTTGACCTGCCGGCGTCTGCCTGCCTGCACAGAGGCAGCTGCACCCAGCTTCTCGCTGCAAGCGCCCAGCGGTCTGAGCAGCGACGACGAGGAGGAGGAAGTGGATTCTGGGGCTGCCGCTGCTGCTGGGCGCAGGCGCAGGTGGGGCCAGCGAGCGGGCAGGCAGTGGCAGCGGTTGCCGGCTTTGCCTGCTACTACTGCTGCTGCTGCTGCTGCTGCTGCCGCCGCTGCGTCTTCTTACATGCAACTGGATAGCCCTGAAAGTGTGTTGCTGCTGCTGAAGCTCCCAGCCCCCTCCCGTGCCTCTCTTTTCTGGCCGCAGGCTGAGCGCCCCCGCCGGGGTGCGCCCCCTGACGGCGGCTGAGCTAGCACTTGCCGAGGTGACCGCCAGGTTGGAGGCTCAGCTGCGGGTCGGGGCACAGAAGAAAGTAGCCGCCTTTGAGCGGGCGTTACTGGACATAGAGGCGGACGAGGCTGCGGAGCTGGCGGCTGCGGCGTCGCAGTGCGCCGCTGCGGCGGCGGCGGCGGCCAAGGCCGAGGCGGACGCGCAGCAGGCGCGGCAGCGGCAGCGCGCCGCGCTGCTCTCGGGGCTGCGCAGCCAGCACCAGCAGAAGGCGGAGGAGGGGGAGCGCAAGGTGCAGCAGCTGGAGGCGGCGGTGAGGCAGCAGCAGGAGGCGGCCGCCGCTGCCGCCAAGGCGCGTGCCGAGCAGCAGGCGGCGATGCAGGCGGCAGCCCAAGCGGAGGCTGTGCAGCGGCAGCAGGCGGCAGCGCAGCAAGCGGCTGCAGAGGCCGCGACGGCCGAGGCCGCCGCCGCCGCGGCAGCGCAGCGCAGCGCGGCCGCAGCGGCGGCCGCGGCACGGGGCAGCGGGGTGCGCATCGCGCCGTCGGCGGCAGAGTGGGAGAAGCAGTGTGCGGCGGCGCTGGCGGAGGCGCAGGTGTGAGCCAGGGTCATATGCTGCTGCTGTGGTGTGGCCTGCCTGGCTGCTGCTGGCTGTGCGGCGGCCCAGGCGCTGCCGTCGCCCTGCCGCTCAGCTCTCTCGTCCTCGCCCCCTTCCCACCACGCCCTCCAGGCCGCGGTCCGGCCTTTCGTCGACGACCGCTCCATGCGCGACAAGAAGCGGGCGGTGGACAAGTTTGTGACGCTCAACGTGCAGCAGATCAGCGCCACGCTGGAGCAGGTGTGTTGTGGGTGGGTGTTGTGGGTGTTGTGGGTGTGG